TGATAATAAACATGCTCATACTAGATTGTATAGGCAGTCTTTTGAAGAAAATAAGTAGGTGTGAATGTTTAGAAAGTTGAAAGCTGACGCTAAACTGCAATTAATATTGCAGGACAGCTGGAACTGGAAGATCACAAAATTGCTAGAAATCCATCTTACCTGCCTTCCAAATCTATGTGTTACTGGACAATCAGCATCTTGTGTGAAGGTACTTGCAGCTATGTCGTGAGCCTACAGGCTGATTTAATGCTAGATTTTTGTGTGACCTATGTGATGAAGTGGACTGCGTCAGAAATGGCAAGTTAGTGTTATTTGTCTAAAGTAATCAGAGTAAAGTTCTAGGAAGTTGTTTTGTGTTATTGAATTGTCTTTCATTGTAAAGAAACGAAGAACAGCACTGAAGGATTTTCTTGATGGAAAAGACTTCTAGTAAGAGTTTGACTAACACATTATATGGTTCATTGATCTATTGGCAAGTTGAAAAGTTTGCTAATGATAGACAGATGAAAGTCCCTGCCCTTTTCCCAAACAGTTTCCCGACACTTCCCAAATGGTTCTGTGTAACAACCACAGGCGCAGTCCCCAGGTTTAAAACTGCATTTTTTGGTCTGAAAAATGTTGAATAAACATATAATGTATAAAACTTAGAATATTTTAAGGTTTGTAGGTGGTATTCTAGTTGGGAGACAAGTCTAATTACTAATGAAAGTGAAAAAGTTTGAATAAATTTCATAATGTGTTTTAAAATTATACGTTTGAATTTGAGTTCAAGAGTTGAAAAATGCAATTAAAAAGTGAAAATGTCCTAAAATCTGTATTGTGTGTTGTAAAACTGAATAAATTAGCTCATTTTAATCAGTTTCTGTGATTCCCAACTCCAATTTTAAAGGTTGCCATGCTGACGGACACACTTTTTATACTGCTTCTACTCTCAACGATATTAACTCCTATCTCCTAAAATGTTGATTTCCATAAGAAGCAAGAGACCCCTGCTGAAACAATAGTTTGTGACATTTGACTGTGTTGTGTCTAAAATTAGA